ACAGGAAACAGACAGGAAACCAACAGGAAACACAGGACAGGAAACACAGACAGGACAGATTTTGGGTTTTTTCAGTGAAATGTGAAAAAGTTTCTGCTGAAATATTTTGGATGTTTAAAACAAAAAGAAAAATAGAAATATTTTGTCTTCAACATGTTTAACTCACTAATAAATGAATGACATCACAAACCTGTTATTACACGTATTAATACACACTAGTACACCTGTTATTACACCAGCTGATTATAAATAACACCTCAACATGTGAAGCAGAATTCAATGATTCAAATATAAATCTGGTGTAAAGAACCAGCATCAGACTCCAGATCAGTTTCATGTCATCCTCTTGAAATGAGACGAACACTGAGTGACACCACGGTCAGAAAACACCGATGTGTGGGGGACGTAAACAAACAAACAACACTAACAGGCACAGAGCTGGTCTCCATGGAAACCTGACACCTGACTAAGATCCTGCCTCCTGATTGGTCGGACAGACTCTGATGTTTAGCTGCAGCAGATTGAAAAGAACTTTAAGATGGCGTCTCTGAAAGACAGATACAAAAACATATTTACGTTATCAAATCATTTTTAACAGGAACGAATGTAAAGACAGAAACTAAATACTGTGTGAGTACTTGTATTTCAGTTGATAATACTCTATTACTTTTACCCCACTGACATTTTCAGTGCAGTATTTGTTCCGTCACTAAACTGCACCAACGTTTCTGTGATTCAGTTTATTCACTTTCTTACAGACTCAGGATTTGAAATGTTTCAACCATGAAAGGAAACTTTGTGTGTGTGTACAGTGTGTAGTGTGTACAGTGTGTACAGTGTGTAGTGTGTACGGTGTGTACAGTGTGTGTTACCTGGCGAAGGGGATGTATGAGAGGCCGTACCTGTGACAAACACAGCATCAGTCAGACAGGTACAACACAGAGACAGGTGGACAGTGTGTGTGTGCGTGTGTGTGTGTGTGTGTGTGTTATACCAGCTGAAAGCCACAACTTGGAGGAGACAGAAAATAAGAGCGAGGGTGAAATTCGTCCACTGGAGAGAGAGAGAGAGAGAGAGAGAGAGAGAGAGAGAGAGAGAGAGAGAGAGAGAGACGTTATTACTACAATGCGTCTGGAAACAGGAAGCTCTGGGCGGGGCTTATTAACACAGGAAGTGACATCATCATATCAACATGTTTTGTGTTAAATATCATAGAAATATTTCAGCTTCATAATTATGGGCGGAGTCACAGCATCAATGTTCACACCCAACTTTACGTGAACGTATTTCCTGGTTTCCACCGAGGACAGATTTCTACATCACAACTAAACCAAGGTCAGTGATTGGCTGAGAGGCACAGACACAGAACAGCTGATTCTACTCACCCAGTACGCAGAGCAGAGCGTCAGCACCAGACAAACCTGCAGAGACACACACACGACAATTCAACAACTGTTCAACAACCGACACAAACAACACAACCAACACAACAGACAGAACCAACAGAACTTGTGTTGTGTGAGTTGTGTGTTTCTCCTCTCACCAGCACCAGGGTGGTGGCGAGCGCTCTCTCTTTAGCGCACATGCTCCTCAGCTGCCGCCACGGCCCGATCAAGAACATGGTGCTGAAACAACAACATCAGGTGTGATACCGACTGCCACCACTAGAGAGCAGCACTTCCCTTTATTTGAATCAGGTGAAGGGACAGGTCTCCGGGAATGATGGGTAATGTAGTTTCTCACTTTTAATCAGATTTCATTTGATCTTTTATTTTATTGTTT